TTTTTCCCAATCATTAGATGCAGTAAAATGTAGGAAATTAGCCTACAGTCTTCACAGTCTTATCTTTGTGGGGTGTTTGAATTGGCCGTCTTTTTGGATTCCCTGTTTCCAGATCCACCATAAAGCTTTATTATTCACAACAGATTTCCAAAAATTGCCATCCGATGGCAGTGGGTATCTCTATAAACCTGAGAAGGGGGATTCCGTCTAATCCTACAGTGATTAGGAGAGAGGACTCCTGTTCTTAATGAATTCCCCGTCACAGTGGCACCCAGCTGCATTGTGGAGGAGCGCCAGAATCCACGGACACCTCCTGCTCCCAAACACCTGGCTCACTCTGGGCTTCGCCACCTCGCTTTGGGAATGGGCACCAAGAGGTGCAAGTTGACAGCTGACAGCAAGTGCATCAGATGTATCACCAAATACTAGGTGTGGTAAGATAACTTTTGTGATTTCGCTTTGCTAACAAGGCTGCAATTGTAGCAAATGTAACAAAAGAGAAATAAGTGGTGTGACATTGAAGGTATGAAGGTCACCAAATGGACATGACTCTCACAACCCTGCCGGCTTTGCTGCTTCCAGGAGGCCACCCCTGATGAGCCTCATTTTGCCATGGTGAGGATTTTATGATTCGTTAAGGAGTTCTTTGAATAAACAGAGGACACGTACTAAACTTTCTGGTCTACTTGTGTATAAAGATTACATATAGTTCATCTCACTGGGATGCGAGTCAGAATCAAGGACATGCGCGCGTGCGCACACACACACACACACACACAAATACAGTCGTGTCCTGCTGACTACGGGCTGGGAGTTGGGATTTACCTCACACAGGTGAAGTTTTACAGAATCCCAGACTTCAGAGTTGGAAGGCACCTTTGAGACCAAACCCTTCATTTTTTTTAAAAGAGAAAATGAGAGTTTCAGTAACTAGAGTCACATAACCAGGTAAGTACAGTCTAGTCCTGGGTCTCTTATCTCCGGCCCAGTCTGCTTGCTGTTTTCTCCAGTAATTGAGGAGTGCTAAACCAGCCAAGATGATATACTCATCCAGAATTTCATTAATCTGGTATTCATCTGTATTGGCAAATAACCTCTCTTTATATGTAAACATTCTGGGGAGAATTACTACCCTGGTTGCTAAGGCTTAGTGTGAGTTAGTAAGACCGCCCTTCAACTAACAGCAGCTGAGATGAGCATTTAGTGATTGTGGGGGAATAATCGTGGGTAATTGCTGACAGGGAGGCTTAGGCCTTAGGAGATGGACGGAGTGGGGGAGAGGAGTATCGAGAAGAGGGATATAAGAAATGGATGTACAAAGGCACTGAAAACTAACTTTGGTATTTGCAGTTTTTTTGAGGTTAGACTGGTAGTGCCGTCTCTACCTGTGAAGGAAAACACACTTGTTTTACATTTACTGAATGCTGAAGAGAGGAAGGTGGTTGCTGTGGTTTTGTGGTCATAGTTCATGTAACATCGCCTCCAAATTGTATGTAATAATCTGTTCTTACCAAGCTTTTCAAATGTTTTACAGTTGTTAAGCTAGATGTAAAAGTAGCCTTATACTTGAGTAGAGCATTAAAAATTAAATACACCTATTCAGGATACCAAATAAAAATTCTTAATAGAAGCCTTACTGTTTGTTCTCAGTAATTGTCTTTTTACTTTAAGGCATTGTGTCGAGGGTTACGGAATGCCGGTTTTGTTTTGTATGTTCACACAACAACACGGGGAGCCATCTGCTGCAGTGAAATTTGCAGAGTCCAATTGTGTGTTCTTTAGGGACGCATCTAAAACGTCATTAGCTAAAGACAGATTGACAACACGCTTCATACAATTTTATGAATCTTGTCATGGGAAGTCTGTTATTTAGAGTAGTTTGAATTTCATATGCATCTTGTTTTAGGTTTGCCAAGCTCATAGGAATCTTAATCCTGCTATTGCTAGAGAAAATCTATTAAAATAGCCTGATCACTAGAATTTCTTGGTGGTGCGCCTTGTGAACTCGGATATAAAGGCCCCACATTTTACAGAATAAAGTGAATCTGCAGTTACATAATATTTTAGAGCTACAGGGTTTGCCAGGTACTATGTGGAGATGCCAAAAATTTTAAAAAGAGAATTACTCAAATTGATTAAATAGCTTCTTTTATGTGATGTTTGTTTTTAAAACGGTAGAGAGTCTTGGTGGGCTTGGTTCTGGTAGGGTTCTTGCTACTGTCATTAAGGTTACAGTCAGGAGAAATACGTGCTGGTGTTCTGTTGCACGGTAGGGCGGCTATAGTTAACAATACTATAGATTTCAAAATAGCTAGAAGAGAGGATTTTGAACGTTCCCACCACAAAGAAATAAATACATGAGGTGATGAGTATGCTACATACCCTGATTTGATTTTTATACACTGTATGCATGTATTGAAACATGACACTGTACCCCATAGATATGAACAATTATTATGTACCAATAAAAACAGAACGGCAGCAAAAATATGAGTGACAGATAAAGTAAAACATGGTACAAACGGAAGAACCAAGAGAGCTGGATGTGGGTGGGTACAAGAACTAGCACGGAGTGTGAGGGCAGGGATGCGTAGACACTCTGGCCCACGCCCAGCCCCACCTCACTTGGGGACTTCTAGGAGTAAGAGGGGTGCTTGTGCCTTCACACAGTTTGTGATCTCCCCGAGGGGGCAGGGAGAGGAAGGCATTGTTCTTTTATACATGGAGACATGGAGGTACCAACAAGCCACATAACCCAAGAGGAGTCAGGACTGAGACCCTAACTGGTGAAAGAGAATCCAGTCTTCTAACTACTAAGTAGAGCATCCTCTTTTAGAAAAAAGTTTCTTCCTGCTGTTTTTAATTGCTGTAATTCTGAGGTGCCGCATGTTAACAAACCGGTCATTTCTTTGCCAGTTTCCCAATGGAACAGTTGTGAATTTTTCGTGGGCTTCTTCAGAGCATGGAATATAAGTAATTATATCAGTCTATGGCTTAATTAACATAGCTGCTGCAGACTCTCATTCGTGCCTGTTCACATTCTAGGTGGAACTTTCTATCGTGGTTAATAAATGTATCCAAGTCCACAGCATCTGCAGGAATTGCTGTAGCCATATGGCTAGAGTGATAGTCAAGGAGACCACGGTCCAGATTAATGTCATGCTGCTGCCTCACAGTGACACCAAGTTAAATGAAACATCTCGAGGGCACCACGTCTCAGTGGACTTGTTTATTAGCTTATCCATGTATACAGGCTTTGAAGACTTGACTACTATTTACACAAAAATTGATACCAATAAAGACAATTAGAGAATATCAACAAATCAATCCAGTGGTAGAAAGGCACACCTGAAAATGTAATAGATTTGTGGTTTTTAAGAGTGGAAGGAATAAGCTATCTCCCGCCGCCCCTGCCTCTTAATAATGATAAAGAATTGGCTATTTAACCATGTAGCTCATGCCCTGCTTAATTGGTTACTGGTTTGACAAATATAACATGAAATCATTTTTCTAAGTTATTGACAGCTCCTCTGTCATTGTCCTTTAGGAGGGACAGTGAGATTCTTGAGCCCCTTCTGGTGGTTTGTGAGTTCAAAGAATGTTTATATGATTAGACTAATTTTGTGCCTGTCTTGAACCAAACTTTACTGCTACAGTTATTTAGAGATGAGTCCATTGATGTTTCATCTTCATGTATGTATGATGAAAATATTTTTGGCAGTTAAGCAGATAAGGAAAAGCCGTCCCCAGGGTATCCCTGCTCCTACGGACGTACACCACCACCAACTCTAGGGCAAGGCAGCTGCCTTCGGAGGAGTGAACAGTTGTCTGATGTTGGCTTAGAGCATAGTGACTTTACCACATTCAAAGTGATGCTTTTGATGTAGGTGAAACTGAGCAGGTGGGAAGAAGGCATAAATAGATATACATGTATATGTATGTATAAATATAGATACACTCACACAGAGTCCTTTTGTTTGGGAATGTTTAGAAACTAGCAAGTAATAAAATATGCTTTCCTCTCAAAGAGATGCTTTGGCACAGCTACCACCAGGAAAGAAACTGGGTGTGAGAATAGAGGAGAAGCAGAAAGAAAGAATGAAGTGAAAACTTACTGATAAAACCTTATTGCATAAGTATGTGTGTAACATTTAACAGATTCTCAATTCATTTTCACGAGAATGAATTCCATCTGCCGAAACCAAGTTCAGAACTCCCACTATGACATGTCAACTCTCCGAGTGTTCCTTGATGCCTTTCCTCGTTGCCACCGAGAGGAAAACTTCTTTGTTTTAATCTACACTTGATGTCTATACAAATTATGCTATGTGCATTTCAGCACATGTGTGTTCCCAGTGTACAACGATCACATGGCTAAGGGAGAGAAAGCTCAGGTTGGCAGTGGAAGGAAAGGTGGGCATTAGGACCTCTCCTTAGGACGGCTGGAGGGACAGTTCCTCCCCGAGCCAGTCCATCGCTTCAGGGAGAACCCGGGTTTGGTGGACTTCACGACTGAAACTGACAGAAGGTTTTGGCCTAAGATTTATCGATACGCCCGCACATGGACATATTTCTATGCTTCTGTGTATCACTGCTGCTTAAAATTTTTGTTTTTAAATGATCAGAGTTAGTGGAAAACTTTAAAATAAGTAATTTCAATCTTGAATTTTAAATCCAGTAGGAAACCTCACACTCAGTTTTTCACTTTTAGTAGGAGGATTTTAAGGCATGAGGTATATTAGTAGGACGATTGACTCTCTGGATCTGTATTGGTGTTTTCTTCATACTCAAAGCACTTGGAATGTATGCATTTCATTTAGATGAATATATACACATCTTTTCCTATACTACTGGAACTATTCACGACATTTTTTTTTAACAATAAGTGATGAATCGGCACAATTAAAAGCATCTAATCATCATCTAAAGTGACATTTCAGTTAGTTGTCTATGATTTTTTTTTTCTTTTTCAAGTAAAGAATGTCTTTCCCCATGCTGAATCATTACAGATAACTCCTTTATTTCTGTTCCCTCTCCCTCGAATGGTTCATGTCCACATCAACAAGGTCGGGAAACAGCTATGACTCCGACTATGAAACACATGAGCAGCTAATTCTGACTACGTTGAAGCAGAGCACACACAATTTAAAAGAAGCATAAGGAAGTATACAGCAGCCATGCATAAAAACCTTATGCAACCACATCTGGGCCTTGTATTTATCACTCGTTTTTATGATATTTTCTTCTTTTGAAAGACTAGGATGAACCCATGCTCAAAACCTTTCTAAAGCATTTTGAAATTACAGCTTTTTATGTGGCACTTCGAAACAAGTTGGCACAAAATGAAAAGTGACATTTGGTCTCTGGTTTATGGAGGAGCCGTCACCTCTCCCTCCTCCATGGGCTCAGGGCTCCCAGGAAGAGAACGAGTGCATCAGCTCAGGGCCCAGGCTGGTTCACGCTATTCTTGCTTTTCAGAATGGTGTCCTCGTAATGACTAGTTCCGGGGGCAGTAGTGGCCTCCAAAGGTAAGCCCTGTTGCTGGTAGCCGTAGTTGACATTCCCACAAGGGAAGTGACGTAGCCTGAACAGGGGCACCTCCTTCATGTTGGCAGTCAGCGAAGACGGCTCTAGGAGCAGAGAGGCCCCCGGGAGTCTGCCAGTTGCAGCACTGGGTGGGACAGTACAGCTTCCCTCGCGCCCCAGGTTTCCCCTCTCGTGTTGCTCCTTCTTTGCTAGAGGATTGTTCTTTTTGGTGGGTTTCTCCGTAAACCATGAGCCATAAGTTGGGTTCCACAAGCTGGTGGGTTTGTTTCTGGATCCCTGGACCTTGTGCAGCTCCGACGGTGGGTTGGACTGAGAGAATGCCATGTTAACGTGTCCCCCTTCCGCGGCCGGCCCTCTAGGGACTCGAACAGAGACCTCTGCCACTGTGGGTTTCTTAACAGCTTTGCCAGAGGAGGTGGGGGGCGGAGGAGGCGGGGCAGCCGGACCGCGCTCCTCCTCCCGCTTGGCCTGTTGAGGAGAGACTAGGAGAGGAGGGATCCCCTCAGGGTCCTTGGGCCGCATGGGCACTTTCTCGTCCTCTTCCAGAAGTGGACCGTACTCTATCGGCAAAGCGGTATTGATCACATCTGGGTCCTGCGGTAGGAGAAATGAACTGATTAAAAACTTTGGATCACAGAAAAAAATGCTGGATCTGGAAGATACCTTAGAGATGATCTCGTCTATGCTTATTTTACAGATGAGGAAACCATTCAATATTTATTGAGAATATATTAACTTACAGGCAGTGGGGCATAAGAAATGAATGGGAAGTCATCCTTTACCCTGAAGGCCTTAGAGCTGCGGTCCCCAACTCCCGGTCACAGGCTGGGACCGATCTGGGGCCTGTTAGGAACTGGGCTGCACAGCAGGTGGTGAGCAGCAGGTGAGCAGGCGAACTTCGTCTGTATTTACAGCCACTCCCTTTCACTCACATCACCGCCTGAGCTCCGCCTCCTGTCAGATCAGTCACTGTCTCCCATCACCTCCAGATGGGACAGTCTCGTTGCAGGAAAACAAGCTCACGCCTCCCACTGATTCTGCATTATGTTGCGTTGTATAATTATTATATATTACAATGTAATAATAATAGAGATAAAGTGCACAATAAATGTAATGCACTTGAATCATCCTGAAACCATCCCCCCTCAGCTGGTCCATGGAAACTGTCTTCCACGAAACCAGTCCCTGGTGCTAAAAAGGTTGGGGACC